TTTTTTATTGGGCGGCAAAGATATTTTCCCCCCTTTTCCTCTTCTTCTTCAGTTTTGGCAGATAGGTTCTCAGATAGGTGATCACTTCCCTGTTTTTCAGCTGCCCCTTGTGATATTTTAACCGTGATGGTTAGTTTGATTCCTTCTCTGGACAGCTCCCTGCTTTCCTGCTTATCCCTCTCTGAGATTGTAACTTGCTTATCTCCTTGGGAGAATTACCTTCTCTGAAAGGACAGAAGAAAAATCTCTGAATATACATATATAAGGGGGGTTTAATCTTCAGTTCTTCTTGATGTCACGAACCCTTCAATCACTTCTTCTATGGCAGTTGCCATTGCTGACTTTCCATCCCAGAGGCTGCCATTGCTGACTTTTTAATCCCTGCTGACTTCCGCCATTGCTGACTTTTTTATCCCAGAAGTTGCCATGTGGTTTCCCTCTTCTGGACTCCCTTCTCCTATTATGTTTGGGCTTGTGAGGCCCAAATCAGTCTTGTTTGCTCTGATGAGCCTTGGGCTGGACTCTCCTGGTTTTTTGGGCTTCCTTCTTTTCGCTGGGCTGGATGTGTCAATTTTTGGCCCAAACACTTCCTTCCCTATCTCATTCTCTCTTCCTCCCTTCTCCTATCTTCCCCCATTTTCTGTGACCGAAGGTTTCCTCTTTTTGTCTTCACTTTGTTATGATTTTCCTCCACCCATCACATGTGGCTGCGTCTTGATGTAGGATCTCCACCTGCGTTTCGACGTCAGATCTCTACCACTATCCTTTTTGCAGTTTCTTTATATTTGAAATAAGTTGCAAAGACTCTTTAGGTTTTCTATGTAGTTTTCACCTCTCCTTTTGTGAGAGTTCTCCACATCTCTTTTGTGAGAGTTTTGTTTGTATTGTTATGGTTAGGTTTTTTCAAGCCTTATTTATTTATTTTTATTGTTATAAGTTTGCAATCTTAGTTTGGATGCCTATGCCAAAGTTTCTTTGATCTTGCATGATTGTCAGTGGAGGCGAACCATATTGGCTTAATTTTGATGTTAGATCGATCCGTTATTGTAGTGACCCTTCGTGGCTAGTGATTTTTTTGACTGAATTATGAATGCAATCTCATAATTTATATATATATATATATAAATTCACCTAATTTTAATACAAATTCTATGTAAGTATGATCCAAATTATTTCTTTCAAATATTGTACGCACATATCAATCAAATTGAAAACATGATGAATTTAGTGAAAACATTGGTTATAACCAAATATTTTAAACTTATACTTCATCCATAATTGAGGACAAAATATTACTACACAATAAATTAGTAGGTTTTTTGGGGGTTACATTATATGTGTTTTTTTCTTCTGTGATGCGATACAAACTTGCATCACATTATGTGTTACATTCACACTCTCTTTGTATGCGCCTCTTGCACACTGCACCAAAATAAATGAGTAAATATAATTCTTGAGAAAAGAAAAAAACAGAAGAAAAAAAAAAAAAAAAAGAAAAGAAGACAATTTTATGTTTTCAAGGAAACAACAAGAAACATCCCAAAATCCAAAGCCAAACCAAAAGAAAGTGAAGAAAGAAAAAGTTGCAGGACAATGGTATTCACCTCCAACCCATTATCTCTCAGCGTCCCAGACCCTTTCTTCGAGTCATGGCTCCGCGAAAATGGCTACCCAGAAATCATTGACCAGCATACCTCTACTGCCATCACCACCTCTACAACCACAACCACAGACGCAAGCTCAATCACAAACGGCTTCTTCATCTCACTCTTCTCTCGCATATTCACCCTCCTCTCTCTCTTCACCATCAACCCCTTCTCCAAGCTCACCAATGAAGACCTTGCTGCCCAAACGCCTCCTTGGACCACTATCTTTATTGGCTCTTCTGACTCCTACTCCTTCCCCTTGTCTGTTTCTCAGGCTCGCATGAGGGTCCAAGAGAATGTCAAGCGCTATGCCAGAAATTATGCTACTTTGTTTGTGCTCTTCTTTGCTTGCTCTTTGTATGTTCTCTTTCTCTTTCTCTTTTCTCAACGGTTTGTGGTTCTTGGGTCAGTTTTGAGAATTGTTTCTGTTTATATTAAGGGATGTTAGGGGATTTCTAAGTGGTCAAAAAGAGCAAGTCTTGGGGGTAATTGGGCTCCAGATGCCATGGGATTGATGTTTTTGTTTTTGTTTTCGAGAACTGGGTTCTTTTTATATTACTGTTGTTGTGTTGTGTGGAAATTTAGGAATTCAGCTCTCAAATGATATGGCTTTCTTTATCTTTATCTTTGGCTCATGAGTGTTGGGTGAGTTTTCAGAATTGGATTTTGGTTTGTTGTTGGATAAAATAAAAGGATAGAATAGAAAAACAACGAAAGAGGGTGAAAAATAAAAACAAGCATTTTTGTGGAAACGAAGGTAAATGTTCTCGGGTTTGCTGTTTTTCTTTCTGTCCTGGTTTGATATCAATACCTTGTTCTTAATTTGAAGGATCCTAGTTGGAAGTTTGGAAAGTGCCTCTCCATTTTAGTTGTTGCAAGAACTTAGCAACTGTAAGGAAGTTGAAAATTTGGACACCTTTTGTCTTATATTGCACTTTGCCTTTCATAGTGATAAATATTGTGATTTTAAATCAGCTGGCTGGTAAGCTTATTTGTCTGGTAGACCTATAGTGGACTATAATCTAACAGTCAAATTTCCAAATTGTGATATCTTTTCCTTGGCCTAAATAACTTGAGTATGTATTTTCGGTCTTGCCAATGTTGAAAGGTTGGGGCTGCGATTTATAAAAATTCAAGAAATCATATGCCACATGGAATGGTTTCAGGGGTTTAGGTTGTAAGGAGGTCTTGCTGATGAATGCATTTACTCCTATCTGAATGCACTTCTCTCTAGTGAAGCAGAGACGAAAAATAAAGCCACAACTGCGCCTCCTTTCAACAATTTACCTTTATGTGAGAGGGCAGCATAGGCTAAATTGTGTCCTCTATGGTGTCTGGTCTTTTTCAGTGTCCTGTAAAATAAAAGAAACTATTTGGTCGCCCTTCCCTGTGTCGGTACTCTTTAGCATTTCCTCTTTTGGGGTGTGTGGTTTGGGTTTGATAGTTTATAAGGTTTTTATTTCCTGATCTTATTTGATATTGTTTTTGTGTTTTTTTAAATATATTATTACAGATATCAGATGCCCCTGGCTCTTGTTGGATTGATATCTTGTTTGGTACTATGGGATGTTTTTAAGTTCTGTAGTGAAAGGTGGGGATTGGATCGATACCCAATAATTCGGGAGTGCTTAATTCGTGTTGCTCAATGTGGTGAGTAATCAACTCTGTGTTTGGGCAGTAGCAGTATTCTCTTGTACATTTTCTGTATACTTAGTATTCTCTTGTACATTAGATATCCATCTGATTCATCCTCCACCTTTATTTTGTTTGAACTACAGAAATATTTTCGGTAATTTTCTGATAGAAGTAATGGTTGAGCTTGTTTCATGTGGAGCTCAGTTTTTCTAGATAATTTATTTTTTACCCTTATAAATGGTATTTGGATCTTATCATGCGGTATTTTGCACAGAGTAACAACATAGACAATGCAAAATGGCGAAATCTCCATCCATCTTTTGTGCTGTATGTTATTTGTTGAACTTAAGCTGATGTACTTGTGAGCAACTACAATATATATCTTGGTGTTCTTTAATTTGGGGAACTCTTAAATGGAATAGGAATCACATATCATTAGTTTGGTATGAAAACTGAAAGAGGTTAATACTCTGGTTTGGATGATTAATCTGCTTGGACTTCTAATGATCTATGAAATGTAAGCTGTAAGCTGGAGCTCCTGAGTGGAGATAAGCCGAACATTTTTTAGTTTTTGCTGTTCATTCTGATGCAATGTAGTCACTGGATTTTCTTTTGTAACATTGATTGGACTTCATCTTTGCAGTAGCTGCTGTTATCCTGATATGCTCGAATGTTCAAATGGCTCTCTTCTATGCTCTTGGTGTCAGTTATGCAGGTGAGTTTTGGATATACTTTCCATATTCTCTCATATTGAGAAGGCTTATGCACATTTCCCAAGTTCTTTAGGATTTCTCTCCCCCGCCCCCAACCCCCAGAAAAGAAAAATTATTATTCCAATAATGAAAACTTACTAAATAAGTTTTGTGTCGTGTATCAAAATCACAAAGATCCTTACATTGTATGATTTAACCCATACTCTTGAGAAGTTCTGTAGTTATCTGAACTTCATGAGAAAAGTGAGTTTAGATAAAATGCTTAAACTTCTCAAAATAAATTGATTCCTTTTTTCTTTGAGCAAAATTTGTCTATTTATACTTTTGGCTGTCAAGAAATACATTCTATTTGTATTTCTTGACATCCCTTTTCCTGTGTATGGGATCTTCTAAGGATTTGAACCTATTGTAGGCATGATTCTGCATGCTGGATTTCGGAAGCTGGCTCGTGCAAAGCAAACTCCTCATGGTAGATCGAAATAGCAGGTGTTTAGCAATATAAGTGAAAGTTTTGCTTAACTTTAGCTTTAGGAATTTTTGCTGCAAGAGAGCAATGGGATTTTTTTTATGCAACAGTTAACACCCCAAGGTAGTCAAATACTAATGAGCTATATCAACTTTGATCCCATCACGTCTCCAACTCCTGTCCTGAACAACCATGATGCAGGGAAAACAGAAAAAAAGGCATATAATTCCCTCATCTGTGATTTCATGGCTGACCTCCCCATCGTGTCAAAGCAGATGCCTGTTGTTTTGCCTACACACTAAACGCTCCAGGAAATGATGCAGTGATAGTTGTATGCGTATATGATAGTGTTTTCAGTACATAATGTAACTACTTTATTTTAATGATATGATGAGTTTATTGTTTTAGAAGTGCTGAATTTTTTTATTTTGCAAATTCAAGTTTTCTTTAATTTTTTTTTCAATTTTGACAATAAATCTGAATTTGAAGATATGTTTCTGATTTATTTATTTTTTAATTTTCCAGAAGATATTGGGAACATGTCTCGTTTCGTTTGTGCCGGTTCCCTCTCAACCCCAGATCTTAATTAAATGTAATCTTATTTAATTAAAAATATAAAGAATAAATTGAAGGATAATGCTTTTATATTGTAAGGTCATTGGCGTTCAGAGGGGCGGTCATAAAATGTGAAAGCCATTTTGTTTTTATGTTATTTGAAATTAAATTAAATTATTGTTTGTTTGATTAAATAATTACATACATTGATTGAAAAATTAACTTCATATGAACCCATCTGGTTTAGCACAGTTCCAGTACAGTGAGTTTCTGCCTCACTAAACTGAATTATCAGAAAGGGAATTGAAGCAAAACAAACAAATAGCATTGTTGGATTTCACAAGCAAAAATATGATTATTAATAAATATAACCAATTTTGGAAAATATTACAAATGATAATCTTTAAATTAGCAAACCCTAATCGATTATACTCAATGCTGCTACTTGCAAACAAAATTGTTAAATTAAAAAATAATCATAAAAGATGAAAAAACACAATTGCTTACAATGATATGTACATCATCAAATCAGGAGATAAATGCATAAACAGGAATCACACTACAAAACAAATATCCAATCACTACTTGAACCTCTTTCAAGACGGATTGAGATCGCGTGAAACTTGGCCTTGCCATCTGCATCACAAGCATTAAATGAAAAATACATTAGATATTTGTATTGAACAAAAATTTGGGAGAAAGCAGTTCCCTCTTCCTAAAAGAGAGGAAAAGTAATTTAACTGACAAAGATATCTCAACTAAGAGGACTTGATCTCCATATTTTTCAATTCTTACTCTCTGAGTTGTATTCATTGTCCCATCTTAATTTCTTGCCTGTATCTCTTTTAGTTCCCTGAACTGAATGCATCACTACTATCACTTTTTATATGGTTCT